TCTTGGCCGCACACGGCTACCACCGGACCTACAAACAATGTAGGGATAAGTTAAAAAAACTGAAGAGCGACTACAGAAGCATAAAGGACCACAACAGCCGGAGTGGTTCAAACAGACGATCGTGGAAGTGGTTCGACCAAATGGACGCAATCTACGGAGGTAGACCAACGAGCATTGGGAGGGAGGGTGCCCTGGACTCGGCCACGCCGTTGTTGGAGAAGAGTCGTACCACGCAGTGGAAAAGCGCCATTTATGAATGGGCTTTTGAATCATTGGTTCACACGATTCGTTCAGAACGCGGATTCATTCAGAAACTAAACACCGCTTTGTTGCTCGGAGACACACAACAATTCTGCTATGGCTTTAAAGGTAATATGTTCTCTGCAAAATTGAGCAAAAACACATAATATTGTGTTTAAAATATAACACAATATCAACTTCTTGTTTACTGAACTGTTGTATAAAGTCACATTTGCACTCGTTATATTTTGGACAAAAACAGCACTCGTGTGATCTCCCTCTCTGCTCCTGTGTTATCATATTATATAAATATGAGACGAAAACTCATACAGGAGCATTTTTGCCCCAATATCTTGAATTTTAGGGCATAACTGCATTTATGGAGTTGTTCCCCTGCATCATATTTGTCAGCAGTCGCTGTATGAAATGTAAGATGACACGTTAAACTGACATCCCTAATACTCGCCTATGGAGAGTCCCCGTAAAACATGTAAGCCCAACGTGTGTGTGTGTGTGTGTGTGTGTGTTATATATAAAGTCTGGAAAAACCTAAAAAAACTGAGTAGTCAGTTGTTCGATGACTAATAATGGCATCCATAATCTTCATAGCAAATGAATCCTAAGCTACTTAATTAAAAGCCAATATAAATCTCCATTCTGTTGTAGTCATTTCCAGGCTGACATATTTTAAGGAAGCACCAAATATATCTCAAAAACAATTCTCTAAAATGTCTCTCCTTGTTTGAGCAGAGAATCCCTTCTTGTCACTCAACAGCAAAAGAGATGAAAGCAGATATGAATTGTTTATTGCTGTCCCACTGTGACCCTTGTCTAACATCGTAGGAGATTTATTGTCTCCAAACTCTTCCCCCAGACCTTATCTCTGCTCTCCAGCTTTGTAGACACAGAACGTGTCTTCCAAAAAAAAAGGTACCAACATTTGCAGAATCCTCCATCATCACCCACACATTAACCACACTGGTAGGAGGCTTCGGTCAGGGGCGTCATGCACTCATGATTTTTGAGGGGGCACGTGGGGGGGTTAGCACTGTATAACTGATATAGGCTTATGTTTTATTTATTTTTTTTCCTTTTTATTCGAAATATTTCCAAACGTGTTAACTATAGTAGGAAAAATCTCGATTCTCAAATATGTGTAGGCTAAGTAAATGTGTTTTGAACCTTTATAGATTGTTATTTGATCAATAAATGGTGATGGGCAAAGTAGACTAATAGTGTAATC